TTGGAAAATTAAGTTATAAATATTATTGTATTTAAGATTACATTTTGACATAACACATTACCATTGTGATTCTCAGACTCACAAGAAAAGTTATAAAACATGAGACTTAAAAAAAAAAAGAATTTTTTTAAAAAAAAAAAAAAAAAAAAAAGGAACTATTTACAAAACAGGACCAGAAGTAAAATTCCCATTTTGATTTCTGGTCCTATGATAGATACACCTTTTAAAGCATGTATATCATTGATTGGATCTGGACCTTTTCAAAGTCAGTCACAATAAGCAAACCAGTCGGTTTTAAATGCATCTTACACTTTCTTGCTCTAGTGGTGTGCATTACTTAGTGATACAATTGGTACCTAAAAGTGCTAAGCTCGTTTTATGTACTGACTTCCGGTTTGACTAGTTACAATGCAAAAGACAGAAGGAAACAGTTCCGCTCTGGAGGAATTCCCACAGGTATGGGGTACAGGGAAAGCGTGTGTGCTGCTGGTTGGGTTATTTTCTTAGAGAAATGAAATTTCCAGTCGACCCGTGTGCCCAGCGCTTTCTCCAAAATGATTCACATGCTCATCCATATTCATGAATCGTGCTCTGTTTCTACTCATTTGTATGCACAAATTCTTCCCTGCGTTCACACAGGTCAGAGCTACAGTTGATGTGGTTGACAGAAATTCTACAGGGTCATGAGAAAAAGCAGCACCTTGTCCACAAAAGTCCATGGAAGTTTGCTCCTTAACCTGCTGTTAAAGTAAAATGCAAGTCTTTCACGTCCCTCACCTATAGAATTCTGTGTACAGCTAATAACCAGTCATCCAACCGGCTGATTATAAAAGGGAACACCAAGGTGTCATATTCATAATTACATTCACAAACAGCCTTAACATGAGTCTGTGAAAACCCACCAGGGACTGTGCTGTGGTTCAGATGTCAGCCTTAGAATGCAGATCTAAGAAACAAAGAAACTGTTCTGTTTAATAGAGCATTCCTCCACACCTCAAAAAGTCAGTACTGTCCAGTTCATGGCAATTTGTCTTGAAATGGTATCATGTTCATTAAAAAACAAACAAACAAAAACTGTTCTGACTAGAAAAGATGCTGGAGATCATAAAAACCTTTCTAGTCTTAGGATCCTCCAGATCTATTTTTCACATACCCTTTAGTTTTCCCTGAGGAAAAGAATATTTTTTACAGTATTTTGCTACTATTTTTAAGGTATTCTCTCCCAATATGTACAGGTTCTGTCACTTTTCTCTAAACATTCACAAGTGAATGCTGCGCTTTCCTTTTCTATTTAAGTCGGATGAAGGCGGAAATGGGTTTTAGCAGTGCCGGCTAATGCAGAACCCGGGGCTGCTTTCAAGTGTGGCTTAGTGTGACACCAGCGACAGTGGACTCCAACTTAAGTGATCTTGAAATCTGAGAGAGCGCATGTCAGTTTCAGAAATCTTTTGCAACATACATGTAACTAATTTTTTTTTAAAGTTTTGTTTGAAAGCCCAAGAACTGTAACACACATCATATCGAAAGTTTTCATCTGCAACACAGTTATGCCTGGACAAAGAATCGTCTCATAACGGGCACCCACCCTGTTGGTGCGCGGAGCTGCTGACAGGCATGCACATTCTTGCCCACTGCCCTCTTCCTGACACTGGCTTTGGCCAAACAAGGGAGGAAACTTCCCAGCAAGTGAGGAGGTGAGCAGTCTGTGCCCACCCGAGATGCGCACGGCAGTCCTGCATCCCTGGCCTGAGTGCTTCCCGCAAAGGAGCTCTCTCCTTGCTTCAGTCAGCTGCTCCCAGAGTGGGAACCTGGCAGCTCCCTCGGAGGTGCCCAGGGACAGTCACCACCAGCTGATCGGCTCTAGGATGGTGAGCCCGAGCCAGGTGTCCACAGCCCTCCTGTATCTCCTCTGTGGCTCCCCACCCACTTGCTACCCGAGTGTTTCCTCCAGGTTGTCACACTGCCTCCCATACATTGGTTGCACATTCTCTGGGAAGAACTAAGCCTTAAAATGACTGTTCTCTGCTGTGCAGCTATCTGGAGAAGCCTGTCCATCACCAGGAAATGCCTTCTTTGGAGAGAGATGAGAAACAAGAAAGGGTAACGGGGAGAGAAAAGTCAAAGGCTACCACATGCCTTCTTCAGAAAGACTCTGGGACCAGAACACACTGCATTGCCGTTCCTTTTGCACAGACAGGTGCCCGTGATGGGCGAGGCTTCGGCTAAACAGCCACATGCCCTGGGGCTTCCCTTCCCACCCATACTCCCCTCCCCCTGCCAAATGAACACAGAAAAGAACGTGGTACCACAGAGAAGGCATAAAACAGGGACTTCCCTGGTGGTCCAGTGGTTAAGACTTTGCCTTCCAATGCAGGGGGTGTGGTTGGGGAGCTAAGATCCCACATGCCTTGGGGCCACAAAACCAAAACATAAAACAGAAGCAATGCTGTAACAAATTAAATAAAGACTTTAAAAATGGTCCACATCAGAAAATCTTTAAAAAAAAAAAAGGAATAAAACAAATCTTGGACTTAATTTGGCACTTGATTTAGTTCCAAAATGTAACAAAATAGCTCTACATTTTTTTTTAATTTTAGCATTTATAATCAGTGCTTTATATTGCAATTCGTAGCTTTCTGGGTGGCTTAAAAGAAGTTTCATCCCTTTTCTTCAAGGCCAGGCAGGTGAAGCCTGGTAGTCCCTTAGTCATTACACGCCTTGGTACAGGGAATCAGTGTCTGTGTGCAGGAGGTACTGAGGGTCTGTGCCCACCTCAGAGCTAGAGAAGAGGATACAGAGAGCCCCGGGCTGGCCAGCAGAAAGGAGCCCCGCGTGAGTGTGAGATGCAGAGAGTGTGTGTGAAGAGGCTTTAGAAAGGAGAAGAAATCCCAAGGAAGCTGCATCCAGTTCTACCCTTTGCTTGTATCGGTGCATTGGCTAATACCCAGGTAAGGACTGAGCTTGGCTCAGCCAGGCCAGAGCCTAGCACTAGTCATGGGCTGTACCTCTGGGGTCAGAGCCACAGAGCCTCACTCTAGGACTGCTCCACAGCCACCATCTCTCCCTCCTTGTGTCCCAAAGTTCTGGGAGTAGGAGATGGATTTAGCCCCTCATCACTTTAATCTCTTTTGATTAGTGACTTAATCCAAGGATCAAGGGCCATGGAACTTTGCTGAAGAGAAAACCCTCTGCTCCACTACTGCACCCCAACCATCACTGAAGTCCATGGTGAGTCTGCTGAAATGGCTGACTAGCCTTGGACTCACCGTGGCCACTGGGCAATCCAGCCACAGTGCAGGGCCATCTGGACCAGGCCAGAGCATCACCTCCCAGCAGAGATGCTTGTGGGTGAAGCTACAAGACACCAGGGAGAAGAAAAGACAGGCTGGGGTAGAGGATGCAAATACGTTTCTGCACTTAAAAAACCCTTTCCTGGCTGACTTTTAGTGCTCAAACATACATTATAGCTGGTGCTGTATTGATTGGTAATCACGATGTGATATTAAATGAAGCTCTTTCTCTGCTCTTAAAATAAGTGTTTTTAAAGAAAAAAATAAATGAAGGAGGGAAACAGGATCTCTTTCAAGGAATAATGCTCCAAATGTCACGTGAGAGTTTAAAAAATAAAATTGCCAAAATATATGAATGCACAGATTGCAGATGTCACACTGTAGAACCTCCTTCTTTTTCCCTTGCTTATTAAAAAAAAAAAAGAGGACAGCTCTTATGACTAGACGACTTCTTTCTACTCTTTCAAAAAAAAGCGTATGTACAATTTCTAAATATATTAAACTTTGCTCTGTGCAATTTCATTTAACATTCCTATGGCTGATCCTAGGCCCCCGTCCCGACACAGTGCATCCTATAAGGTGCTCTTACTTCTTTGCATAGGTATAGGAGGAATAACTTTAGCAGGGCGATCAAGAGTAGGGTAGACAGAGAATGAGCTTATTTATAGGGCTTGACAACTACTCCCCTGTCCCCGCACCACTACCACCAAGACAGACAAACAAACAAATACCACGCTAGAAAGTCTAATAAATGGAACACAGTGCAAGCCCTGGTCCTATTAAATTGAGAGATTCCTATACCAACACGCATTTTCCTTTTGGTGTTCTGTATGTTCCCTTCTGAGCAAATTCTTAATGAATAACTCCAATATTTTGATAAGAAAAATAAAGGTTTGGACCTTCCTTTTCCCCATATAATCTTTACATTGTTCATTAACCCATCTCCCAGACATGCTAAAGCATAAAACCTATAAAAGTGCACTCAGAATGGATGTTGACCTCACATAACTTTCTGAACACATGGGTACATGGAGGCTGTGCTCTGCTATGTAAATAAAGCACACCTGCCGGGATGGTCTGGAGTTCTCTACCTTTTCTGAAAACAGTCAGCGGTGGCGTTTTGAGGGAAGGAAGGCCTGATGAGCCACTGACCTGGCAACAACTGTCAGATAAGCAGTGATGAAGAGATCCGAGCTATGGTTGGCATCGCATCCCTGAAGGAAGCTTTGAGGCTTACCCAGATGGCAATGCGCGCCAGGTCTTGAGTGCATTGTGGCCGGGAGAGAGTGGGCCAGGCCACCCCTCAGGGAAGGCGTCCGAGGAAGACTCCCAGACGTTTCCCAACTGTGACAGCGGGATGTCCTGAACTCAGCTGGGGCTGAAGTCTGCTGGTGATGTCCATTGTCAATCTCTTTTCAAGCTTATGCCCTCCTGGGCCCTTCAAGCTAACGGCTCTACCGTGGTTCAGTTTGGGGCCATTCTTTAAAACAAAACAAACAAACAAAAAAGACATAGAAAAGATACCCAGAGTGCTGCCATTTCCTGGCAACACATCATGATGTGTACTGCTCCAGAAGTCCGATGGAGAACAGGCAAAAAAGCTATTCACGATGAAAACAGGTATCGCTCTTTGTACAAATGCTACTGAATAACATGTAGCTTTTTTTTTTAAGTGTCAAAAAAAAAAACACACCAAAAAACCTCAGAAACGGCATTGTCCAGAAAGGTTATCAAAATAGGCCTCCTTTCCAGGAAAAACGGGCTTGGTTGGTTCGATTGCTACAGAAGTCCATAGTTTTCAGAGCTAGACATACAGCAAAAAAAAAAAAAAGTTGACTTTTTCAGGAAAAAAGTAGTTACAGCTGCTCTCGGCTGGGTTCTCAGCAAGAACAGTGAGGGTGGTGACCTTTTTTGTTTTTTGCTGTGATTTCACCAAGGTTCCCGGAAGTGCTTTCCCTGGGTTTCAAGTGTGTTTTATTCAGAAGGAAAAGCGCTTCCCAACACCCTCAGCACAAGTCAAGGGCAGGAGTGTCTGGGCGACGATCAGGGGCCTGTGCATTAGTCAATGAACCGCTGGCAGGCCTTCTTCCAGCGGCAGGCCGTGCACCACATGTCACGGTTCTCCATGCCGTACACCTTCCGGCACTTCTTGCCCTCTCCCCGGGGCTTCCTGTAAGACAGGCCAGGAAACAGTATTCAGTGTGAGGGACTCAATGGGCATTCTTCGGAGGGCTCAAAATCCCTGGAAAAATCTAGAAAAAGTTAGGAAACATAGTAGGGGGTCTCTCTAGGTTCAGCCGTTAACCTGTGCGGGATGTTTTCACAGCCACTACACTGAACTGTTAAAATTTGCTACTTTAGTACTTACAATACTCTTCAGCTTCTATTTGTCCATTTGTAGACGTGTCCATTTGGGCATCTTCATAACACTGAATTAAATAAGTAAATACAAGAAATACCAGTAGAGAGCATTATTCTTTCAAGTTTTTAAATATGTACTTTCAAATGCTCTTCTGCTTCTCAAATTCCTAGTCTTCTGGTTACGGGAATCCTGGCGAGGTCCTCCTTGATCTGGCTTAAAAACTCTATTTTGTACATTTCATACAGCCGTTAATGCAACATGGCTTTAAAGATACCCTGTAATCAGCATTACCTATTCTGCAAGAAAATTTACTGTAAACTGTGACCCCAGAAAAATAGCAAATCTTTATCAAGAGTTAATAGATGGGGAAAACTATGGGAACAAAAGAAAGGGTGTTTCATCCATTTCAGGGGAATTTTATGAAGATTGTATCTCTGGTTTCTCTTTTCCTGGCTGTTCTATTTTTCAGTTAATTCCCTGGAGAGGAGGCGTGTGGGGTTTCAAGCAGTCATACCTTAGGCTGACCGTCCCTCTGGGTGGGGAGGACAAGACGGTGTGAGTGTGCTGTCTCTGCTCTCCTGTGCCCACTGGGTGACTGTGGGTTGGTGACACCTAGTAAGCACATGGAAAACAAAGTTAACGGGGCAGGCTCTCCTCACCATGCATTTCGTTAGCCTTTGCCACATGGGCAGGGGTACCCAACGATCAGACACGGAGAGGTTGTGCTTCCTTCACAGAGACGACATGTTAAAATGGATGGGGTGATGCTCATGGTGGCATTTAAAGGCATCCCCCAACAGAAAAGACCCAGCAACAATGAATACTTTACAAATCTTCATGACTTCGCAACATCTCTGCATTCCCAGTTGCCCATTTTCACTTGAATATTTTAAACCTTAAAGCATATTCCTATTCCAAGCCTCATCTGTCTCTCTTTTAAAGAAGAAAAGACGTTAAGAGAGTTCTCTGAGATTATACAGCTAGTCAGTGGCAACACACAATGTGGATCTCTGCCTTCTGTTTATTCAGTTAGATCATTCACAGCCAGTAAATAAATGGCTTCTAGCATAAGACGTCCACATGGCAGACTCTGGGGTCTGAACAGGGATAATGGCAAGAAGCAAAGATCCTGAGCAAATCAAGAATGAATGTCAACCTTGTAGTATTTACTGAGCATCCACTATGTGCCAGGGTCACTGACAACAGCTTTACTTTCACATCTACCCCATGTGATAAGTACTCACTGTTCCTATTTTATAGATGAGGAAACCAAGCACAGGGAGGTTAAATAACTTGCCCCAGGTCATGGAACTTGCAATGGCCAGGGCTGTACTGAGCTCTCCCTGATGCCAGAGCATGTGTTTAACCCCCTTATGCCCCACCTCTCAGTCGTAATGATGGGAGGGTCCCCTTTGTTCTCCATTCCTCTTGCATTTCTCACTTATTCTCTTTGTATCACCTGCTCACCTAGCACTAAATATCTTCCCAGCAAATGGGATTCTCAAAAGCTACACAAAACTCATTTTATAACGAAAGATAAATGATGTTTCAAGTAAATATACAATATTGCCATATACAAAAGAGCAAACATCTAATAAATTGATAAACTTAATCACTTAGAAGCCAACATGACCACAGAAATACCAGTACCAACCAACAGTCATGGGAACATTCCATAGAATTGATATTCTCTAGTACAGGGACCAGTATTTTCTATTTTGTTTCAATGTAAAGGAATGTACATAAGTGTTATTTTCCTAGTCATTAATTTAAAAAAATTAAACATGTAAGAAAAAAAATCTAACATTTTAAACCATTATTGCCATGAGTCTCATTTATTCTGTACCATTGGTCTTTACTTTTTGCTAAAGTTAGGTGGATTGAGGTCCAGCAGAGGTGAGTGACATACATAATTTTTAAAAAACCAAAGCTTTGGAGTTCAGTGTCTGCATTTGATGTGGATGGATATGTAGGTTCTTCCAGAAGCAGAATCCCCACCTCCCACTCTCATCCCCCATCCCATCGGGACCAGGATGCATATTAGCACAGTAGAGGGAGTGAACGCTTCAGAGTTTACTACCACTGTAGATGATCTAGAATATGCTCATATGACTTGTTTTAAGTGCTCAGGACAATGAAAAAAAAATTTTGTTTTAAAAATTATTGTAGAATCCCAAGAGTACCTCTTTATTCAGTCAGAGAACTGGAAATGTTTAGGTGACACAACAGTGACACTGTTTCCATCAGCCGGGGATAATGTGGAAGGTTCTAAGTTTTGAAGAATTGCCATACAGTCAATTTTGCATGGGGTGATATGAGATTATAAAATGCTCTTCATTCAACAAGTATTTATTAAATACTTACTATGCCCCAGGCACTGTTCTAGATTGTGGGGATACAGTGCTGAACAAGATAAAGTCTCTGCCCTCATGGAGTGTACATTCTAGTGGGGAGTTGGACAATAAGTATAAAACAAGTAAGGACATTTTAGTGATAAGTGCCTGAAGAAAATAAAATTGGCTACCAGGCCAAGCGTGATGGAAGGAGAGGACATATTTGTTCAGGGTGGTGAGGGAAGGCTTCTTGGGGAGGTTACCTTTGATCTACAGGGCACTCCGGGGAAAGGGGGCAGGCGAGGGCCAAGGCCTCCCAGGTGCAGAGTGCCAGTGGGGCCGGTAGACAATGCGTGGGAGGCAGGAGGAAGGCGGGAGGACAGGAGGAGGTGGGTTCAGGTCATGTCTTGGAGCTGTGATGAGGAATTTGAAGGTGATTCTAAATGCAAGGGAAGCCAGTGGAGCGTTTTAAGAAAGTGAGACATCTGGTTAACGCTTTACAAAGATGGTTCTGGCTCCTTGGAGAATGAGTTACCAAGAGCCTGGACAGGAGCCCCGAGGACCGCTTAAGAGCCTTTTGCACTGTTTCAGGAGAAAAACGTACTGGTGATTTAGATGAGAGCGTGGCAGTGGTGGGGATAAGGGGCTGCATCCGTATCCTGTAGAGGCAGAGTCCAGGACTTGCTGATAGATGGGATATAGGACAGAAAATAAGAGGACAAATCTTTCGATGAATCAAGGATGCCTCCTAGGTCCTGGCCTGAGAGGCTGGAGGGATGGGGGTGCCACTTAACTGAAATTAGAAAACTGGTGACCTCATAGGTTTAGGGGAGGAATGAGGGGCAGGTTTGGACCCACTGCAGGAAGAACCCTTCTCTATCTTCTTTATTTCTGCTAACGGCTTTCTTAAGTCTGGAGTTGAGGACACACGTGTTTCGTGTCTAGTCCTGTCTGATGGCAGCCCCTCCCGTTCTACAACAGACCTGGGTTTCTACAGGCTGCAGCATAGCGGAAGCCGGGACCCTGTTCACACACCAGCGTGTGGCTTAGTTCTGTGGGAGGATCAATATCCTCCGGCTATTGATCGGGAGCTTTCCTGAAGTTTTTTTTTTTTTTTTTTGCGGTACGCAGGCCTCTCGCTGTTGTGGCCTCTCCCGTTGCGGAGCACAGGCTCCGGACGCGCAGGCTCAGTAGCCATGGCTCACAGGCCCAGCCGCTCCGCGGCACGTGGGATCTTTCCGGACTGGGGCACGAACGAGTGTCCCCCGCATCGGCAGGCAGACTCTCAACCACTGCGCCACCAGGGAAGCCCCCCTGGAGATTTTTTAATAGCACTATCTGCATTTTGTAGGTAAGACAATTTAGGCTTAGAGCAGGGAACTGGCCTACATGCATCCCAGAGTTAAAAGTAGTATCAGTAATTACCAAGAGCTTGTTAAACTAAGTACCTTCCCCTGTGTTATCTAATTTAATCCTCATAATGAGCCCAGGATAAGCATCGCTATCACTTCCACTTTATAGATGAGGAAATGGAGAAGTTAAGGAAGTTGCTGAGGCCACACAAAAAGTAAATGGCGGACCCGGGATTTGAATATGGGCTGTCTGACACCAGCCGACCTTGGATCTTAGTTCTGAATGGTGTCAAAGCCCTGCTTTTTCTCTCTTCCATCCTGCCTCGTAACTGATGGCAGTATTGTGTGCCCTGGAATAAAGCCCTGGAAAACATGATTCGGCTCTTTCTTCCACTGGCCTCCACATTCCAGAGTTATTTGTTTTACATCTTAACCATTTTTAAGTTCTATTTGGGGACATGTTTTATAAAGCATATAATACACTTAGAGAGAGTACTGTATGGTATTATTTCTAAATAACTAAAATGGGCTATATGCCTGTAATTTGTCTCCTGATTAGGTGTGACCTCAGAAGGGTTTAAAGAATTCTAAACCATAGTCTGCAAAAATCGTGGCTAATTTTTCCCATATGTTGAGTATATTTGTGTTATATGAGTCAACCCCAGATAGGGAGAATCCACTTTCTCTGCCCCCGGTTTTACAGTAATGAGACATGTCACAGATAACAACACTAGGAAGTACAACATAATGTCAGCCAGTGCCAGGCACTGTGTTCAACGATACAAGGTGGTTGTCGTAGAGCTGAGTCAAGGGCATTGCTTGAAAGAGGTCCTGTGACCGGCTAGAGGTCACGGCTTGTAAATGCCAGTCAGGACTTGCCTCACACCAGAGCAGTAATACAGAGGTTGTGTCCTTCCATAAATACGCTGGAGAAATTTCTTTTCTTTGTCATTTTCTATCTCCCAAATGGGAAAAAAAAGGAAAAAAGCCCCTTGTCTTGGTTTTAATCTCTTCTAACATAATATTCCGAACCCTCCATCAAAGTGTTAATAAAAAACAAACCAGCTAAAAAAGCTAACAATTAAGCACTACTATTTCAGGTCTGGAGACTGTCTTTCTGGCCTGAAGCCTCTTGGAATGGCCCTTGGATAGCAGGTTGATTAGCTCCTATTTGCTTGCATGGGGCCTATTATGGACTGGATTTTGTGTCCGCTCCACCCCGTTCACATGTTGAAGCCCTAATTCTCAGTGTAGTTGTATTTGGAGATGGGGTCTCTAAGGAAGTAATTAAAGACACATGAGGTCCAAAGGGTGGGACCCTGATCCAATAGGATTAGTGTCCTTAGAAGAAGAGACACCAAAGGGCTCTCTGTCTCCCTACCCCCACAAAAGAAAAGGCCATGTGAGGACATATCAAAACGTTGGCCCCTGACAAGGCAGCAAGAGAGCCCTTACCAGTAACTGAATCAGCTAGCACACTGATCTGAGACTTCTGGCCTCCAGAATTGTGAGAAAATAAATGTGGGATGTTTAAGCCACCCAGTCTACTATGGCAGACTAACACACAGGGGCCAAGAGCTCTCAGCTTTCTGCCATGAAAAGACAGGGAAAGAAATGGAGATAATTAGGGGTCATTGGGGAAAAACAGGTCAAAGAAAGCAGTAATTAACCATGGCCTTCTCCCTACCCCTATGTCCATAGCCTCGTTCCATTGGCGAATATGCAGATTGACCTTCTAGGCTATACACCTTCCGGGAAGAGGTCTTACCCAGGGAACTTATTAAAGCCCCAAATTCAGGAAGTCCAGTGTAGGCAAATGAATAAATAACATTCTTCAAACCTTGGGATTTCGCAGAAGGAGATTATTTCTACTTTCTAGGAAGCATACAAAAGCATCCCCTCTTCAATACCAGGTCTCAAAGACATGGCAGAAAAGGAAACCTTAAATGGGGTTGACAACCTCAGAGTACTTGCTTTGGAGTACAAGAAATGTGTTCTTTAATGAGGATTTAATAAAATGGCAACTGCTCTGTCCTTCAGTCTGGATAAGGTTGAAGCCACCACTGATACTAGTACCTTATCATTTAAAACTTTTAGAGCTTCTGTCTGAAAATCCTATTACACGAATTTAGGAGGTGGGGACTCACATGTTCTCAGAGTCAGCCTGGCTCCCTGTCTTCTAGAGGCAGGACTAGCACCCCTGGAGGATTCAGGGATGGTTGCTGGCACCCAGCCAGTGGACATGTGACAGTCCTATGCCTGGGTGGTGTGGAGTTGTGAGATCCAGCCCCCTGTAGAAGGGGGCGGACAGCAAACAGCCAGTTTTTTTTTTTTTTTTCTTTAAAAAAAAGCATTGATAGAGAGTAGGAAGGAAGAACATTTTTAGTAGTAAGCCTCCTTGTCTTTTTTCTAGAATTAAACAAAAGCCTTCAAAAATGGCAGCTCCCTCCATCCCCTTACCTTTATTTTTAGATAGCAATGGCAAGCTTGACTGCTGAAACAGTCTAAAACCAGATAGATTGAGAATTCTCTGGCGAAACGATAAATTAGAAGGATTTTAGTGGGATACCTAGTTAACTCAGTTACTCTATGTACTTTCTGTCAAAGCTCTAGTCCAGAACGTCCCTGGTAACCAATCGATAGCAAAATGAGGGACTCTGTCCACAGTGCCCACAGAGAGAAGAGTTTTAAAATTTCACTGTTGAAAAACCAACAAGAGGAGGTATCCTGGCTGGTATCCTACCGTGTAAGACATTTAGGAACTTTGGAGGACACGGAACTAGTGAAATGTCAGAGACAGAAAAACAAATATCGTATATTAATGCATATATGTGGAATCTAGAAAAATGGTACAGATGAACCGGTTTGCAAGGCAGAAATAGACACACAGACGTAGAGAACAAATGTATGGACACCAAGGGGGGAAAGTGGGGGGTGGTGGGATGAACTGGGAGATTGGGATTGACATGTATACACTAATATGTATAAAATAGATAAGTAATGAGAACCTGCTGTATAGCACAGGGAACTCCACTTCACTGTACAGTAGAAACTAACACCACATTGTAAAACAACTATACCCCAATTTGAGAAAAAAACAACCACCACACAGCGTGATGTCACACTATACTTCAGAAGGAGATGATTTAAATAATAGAACAAAGGGGAAAATATTCCATTTGGGCTGGTCATAGAGGTAATTTGAAAGGAAGTCTGAACTGGGCTGTTCTGTCTACACACTATACTTGTTTTTACACCAGATCAGCTTTAGGGGGATGCTCCTGAAAATTCTGCTCAAATCAAAGAAGGGAAGGAATGGAATTCAGAATAGCAGGTCTCTGTCATTCTGTGATTGTAGCTGCCTTGCTGGCTTAGAAGGGTTGTCTCAAATGTCATGTTGAGAGCCACTCTGGGTCCTTTTATGTCTATCCAAAAAAAAAAGTCGCCGAAAGGGCTGATTGTTTACCTCTGACACCCACCTGAGGGGATCATTGCTCCTGCCAGAAACAAAACTAATACCTACATGTCTAAGCTATTCTTTTTAAACGTTTACTAACAGGGCATTCATCGTATTCTTGCTTTTTGAGAACAAGCAGTTCCACTCTTCGTGAAGGAGGCACCTTTCATAATTATTCCAGATCCATGATCCTGTTTAAAAATCCTATTCTAGGAGTATTTTCTGGAAGCCACAAATTCTCGAATTGCTGCCAGCAGGATGCTTTTTATTGTTGACTATTCCTCTAGGGAATTTCGTAAATATTAATTGACAGAGCACAGCGTAATTGACTGAGCCACTTTCATTTTTATCTGCTCCACAGGAGGCCTTGGTATTTGCTGGAAACCTCTGGGAGTTGCCAGTGGTTGTAATAAGAAGCTTTTGTGAGGTCCTTAGGGAGAGGGGTGGAGAGGAGAAAATAAGGTTAATGTCTGTTATCATAAGCCACTTTCCTGAACCTTATCAGGAGTTATAAACCCCCTTGAGCATCAGCGGTATGGGGGTCTATGGATATTCTGTGATAAGCTATAAAAGACCCAATATCTTTTTAAATGAATAGTTAAGAATCAAGCACATTCATGCTGAGTTTTCAGACAGTAATCATTTACCATATCAAATCAATTCTTATATACTACTTAAACCCAATGGCATATTTCAGCACTCATTTATTTGCAAATTACCTCTCAGCATGGACTATTCAGGCTTTGGAAGAAAAAAAGTGATTTCAATTTCTACTATTTGAACTTGCAAAATGACATACCCACAAACAATAATTTCAAAGTCAAATCTTATAAAGTTACTCATAATGATAAATGCCATTTACGTATAGGGTCTCCTTCTTTTATGTTCAGGGTCTGAGTTCAGCTATTAATTTTATAAAGCCTTTTGGAAACATACAAATACACCACCCACACAAAAAATCTTGATATATTTCCAACAAGTTGTTTATCAACAGATGAAACTGTCTTTTAGTTTCTAAAATTCCAGTCAAAACACCTTTTTACAAAGAAGTTGGGCCTGTCTGGACCACGAGACACCTCGCTGAGTTTACAAATATCATTAAAAAAAAAAAAAAAAGAATTCTTCTGGCATTCCAATTTTCGTCTTTTTCTTGCATGTTTCTACAATTTGTTCTCTAAATATATGTTTGGCTTTGACCAGATTTCTGGCTTTTTGCTTTCCTACTTACTGGAATGCCTGTGAAGGTAACTGGAGGAGACTGCCAAGAAATGCTGAAGCTGCTGCCATTGGGGGTGAACTTGGCCGATCCTGGAATGTTCACAGGGGGCGTGGCCTGTCAAACAGAAAACAGAGGAAGTTGTTATGAAAGAACATTTCACCTCAGAGTCTTAAACTGTCATTTCCAAAGTAGGGCCTCAGAACTAATCTCAGCTATATTAATGACTAAATTATAATAGGAGGAAATTAAACACAGTCAAAGAGAGTAGCTAGAGATAAACTTTTTATCTATCTAAGCAACTGAAGGTATAAAAGGAGAAAGTTTTTGACTCCCGATTTCTGAAAAGAAATTTGCTTATACATACATATACCTATTTTAGGACATCTGTGATATACAATTCCTCACTATCAAGTTGGGAAGTCACTTTTTTATGCAGTGATGGTAGGTTGTAAATTACAACACTTTGGGAGGGTAATTTGGCAATACATATAAAAATTATTAGCGTTCTGTATGTTAGCTATTCCACTTCTAGAACTTATTCTCAGGAAATGGATATAAGGATGTTCATTGCAGAACTATGTATTATATTTAACAAAACTGGAAACACATGTCCAATAATAGGGAAAAGGGTAGATATATCATGATATAGCCACGGAGCCATTAAAAATGATGTTGCTGAAGAATACTCATTGGCGTGGGAAAATGTTCATGAGATATTAAGTGGAAAAAACAAAGCATAGTGAAAACAGTACAATAGATTCCATTTTTTAAAAAAAAAATGAGTATACATACACACATAGAATACTTTTGAAGGACATACCAAAAATATGAACCAAGGGGCTTTCTTGTTGGGACTAAGGATGGATTTTCTTTCTTTGCTTATGTTTCTAATATTTTTATGCTGAGCATTTATAATATCTGTAAACAGAAAAATCCCAATATTGTGAATATATGGTTTGGGAAGAAACTTCTAGATCCCTCAGTGTGTGTTCCAACTCTCATTATATAGATAAGCAAAATAATTTAATTAAGTTGGTTCAAGCCCACGATTTCAGACCTAAATGCAACACTGACAAGCAAGAACAAAGGAATGAATAATTCTTTTGACTGCCGTTAAGAGGAGTCAGGAATGAAAGTTATTGCATCAACTAATTTAATAAGTAGCTCTATTCCATTGCTCTTGAGTTGAAGTCTACTAAATAAATGGCTGAATTCTCCCTCTGCAGCTTCAGTTTTTCTACTTTTATACATACAGTTGCTAGTGACAGTGGTTTTGTAACTGGCACCACTGGAAAATATTTTGGCAATACATAGCTGTTCATGTTATATCCTAAGATTCAATAATTACTCTTCTGGAAATTCAAAGAAAAAATAAAGCTACTGGCACAGAGGTATCTTCTGTAGATTTACTAATGATAATTAAAAAGCTGGATAGACTAAAAAGTAGATTCCTAACAAAAGAATGATTAAAACAATTTAATGTTTTGATTTAATTGAATTCGGTTATATATTCAGATGTATGGAAAGTGTTTATAAAACAAGGGTGGGAGAACACAATTACAAATATGTACAGGAGATTTTTCTTCTAAAAAGTTACATAGGGCTTCCCTGGTGGCGCAGTGCTTGAGAGTCCGCCTGCCGAT